TTTGCATTCATACTTTGATGATTTAGATATCTAATAAATTTGATTATTATATGTTTAGGAAAAAGAAAAAGATGAGCAAACAGGGGTCACAATGAACAATGAGCCAAATGGACAATGAGCCAAATGGGCACTCACAAGCATCTGCCTCAGTGGGCCCTCAACAAATGGGCCATGCCTCAGTGGGTCCTCAGCAAATGGGCCCTCAGCAAATGGGCCCTGCCTCAGAGGGCCCTAACCAAATGAGCCCACAACAGATGGGACCAGACCAAATGGGCCCACAGCAGATGGGACCTGACCAAATGGGCTCTCAGCAGATGGACCCTGACCAAATGGACATTGACCCGGGCTTGGAGGAGATTTATTCAATCATTGATGAATTTGATGCTTTTGATGCATCACTGCCCAATAATGAACAACCACTTGCAAGGGTATGTTTGACTTTTTACAGTACATGTTCAATGTTGGAAACCCTAAATATTGTATGTCTTAACTAATAAATTGTGCAGCCTCCTCAGAGAAACAGAAGAAACACCTCAGAGACAAAGAATGCAATGGAGACTACTCAAATTGAAAAGAGAATCACAAGGTCTGCCAACACCTCAATTGAGAAGTCACAGACCCTTATCAAGAACACAATAGAAGTCTCAACAAAAAAGAATTGGCCAAAAGCATCACAGTGACAGGACCAACCACAAGATCCAAGAAGAACATCAATTCCACTTCAGCTACCAACTCCAAGGCTAGTAAGGTAACTGGATCTATTTAATGGAGATAAGTTTCAAGTATTTCTTGATTAATTTTATGTTCTTATTGATTTTCTAATTAATTTGTTGTTCTAGTCAATTGAAAAGGTCACAGGTAATGAGAAAATTGTGCACACACATAATTCTCAAACCACCAAGGATGTTCAGGGCACAAAAAGAACTTTAGGTCTGAAAAGGAAGTTGAATGTAAGTATTTGGATGCTTTCTTGGTTAAATTTGGTTTGCACATATTGAAGTTGTACTTAAAATATTTTTTATTGTAATTACTGTTAACCAGGTGAGAAAGATGCCACAATCTCAAGGTCAAACATCCAATTCTGCTCCTGAGGTTGACAAACCCATATGGAGACCACCTGGGAGGTCACTCACAGATGCTAGAAGCTTTTCAAGAATGTTTGGTGGAGGATTCATGATAAGTGGAGGAGGGATTGTACACAGGTCAGACCCATCAATTGTTAGAAGTGAAGGAACTGAAAGAAGAAGTGAAGGAACTGTCACAAGAAGTGCAGGAATTGTCAGAAGTGAAGAAGAAACCCCAGTTTGTAGACAACAGTAGACTTGGTTGTTGGATTGGTGTTCTTAATTTTTGGCTCTGAAGTAGATAGATCATGCTTTGTAGGTTTGGTGTTTGTAAGCATGATTTGTTTTGTGTTGTTGGTTTGAACATGTTTTGTTGACTTGGTTGTTGTGAACATGTTTTGCTAGGATACTCTGGTTGTTTTTGGGATGTTGGGGATGTTGATCAAAACAATGTATGCTTTTTGGTTGGAAATTGAAGTGTTAGTATATTTTGTTTGGAAATTTAAGTGTTAGTTTATTTTGGTTGTTTATTAATCCCTAACAATGTGCAGAAAATAATAAAAAATGTGCAGATACACCATGACATCAAAAAACATCCATTGCATTAATAAACACCATGACATTACACAAAATGACCAACTACAACACCCATTACACTTCAACTACATCTATTTCATCTTGTTTCAATCAATCACACTCATTACACTCAAGCACATCCATTACACTTCAACCATTACACTTCAACTACATCTATTGCATCTTGTTTCAGTCAAGCACACCCATTACACTCAAGCACATCCATTACACTTCAAGAAGCATAGAACAATCAAACCAACAATTGCCAACAACATGAGCCTTTCCCATTTTTTCCTTCTTGCAATTTATTCTTCCAAATTTTTGGCCCGTTTCTGAAGCCCAGGAATGGGTTGTTGTGCTCTATAACACATTGGAGGGTCAACCCAAACATGGTATGTACACCCACCCAACATCTGCAATTCGAAAAAAGGAAAACAAAATTAAAAAAAAATCTAGCGATTTCACAAACATAAATGTCAAAAAAATATGGGAAATTAAACTAGCAATTGAATTAAACTAGACAATTGAAATCAAGAGAAGAAATTGAGTGCATTCACCCGGTATTTCTCACAGGCCGAGTACCTACGCCACGCATTACCATCGGCCCATGACGTCTTTCGCACAGTAGGCTTCCCACACCGACAGAAGTCATCGATTAGCTCCTCGGAAATTTGCCGGAACATTAAATTGTTCGGAGATGATAAACCCTAGATGAAAGAGGGGAAAATTGGACAATTTTGGGGAAAATTGCTCCAGCAAATGACCGGCATTGGGCTATTTATATTGTGTTCAAAACCAGATTCTAACAGGTGAAACTGGACTTAAAGGTGGTGTGGGGGGTATTTTGACAAACCCGTGTAGTTTAGAGGGTGGTTTGCAAAAAAATAAAGTTCATATGGTGATGCGCCATTTTCGCGAAAGTTCAGATGGGAAAAAGTTTTTTTCCCAACAAGTTAATAGGTTTAATAGACCTATGTTTAAAGTTCGAATTATAAGAATGTTTTACCAAGACTAGGCAACACATACAAATCCTATCTTGAGTTTTTCTACATGATAAAATTGTAAGCCAAATTATTTTTACTTTTTTTCTTTCGAAATGTCAAACATATATTTTCGTGTATATATAATATACATTGTTTATGTTTGTAAAACAAGTTATTTTTTCATTGATTGCTTTTTCGTATATGTGTAAGGTAATCGCATTTCGACATGGCTACAGGCAATCAACTTGATTGCGTTTAGAGATGGGAATTTTGAAGAGGGCATGATCATTTGTATAAAAAATTATCAAGTGGACAACAATATAGGGAAGTATCATTCGACATCCAGTGATTTTAAGATCATGCTGCACGGGAGCACTATGTTTACAAAGTGCAAGGAAGAATTTCCTGTATTTCGATTTCAATTCAAAGACTTTGCAACTCTACAATATGTCAACAAAATCGATGAATCGATGTTATTCGGTAAGATTATTTCATTTTGTTTCTAATTTTATTTGTTTATTTCAAAGTAATTAAATTATAACACATTATTTTTTTTTAATTGTAGATGTTATAGGATTGGTTGTTGACACTCAAAGTGTGCAAGAGAAACAAATAAAAACTGACGATATCCAAATGGTTGCATTCATTCTTATGGATCTAAAGAAATTTATTTTTCTTTTTTTTTTTACTGCAGTTTTTTCTGCATTATAATCAATTATAATCATATAATTTTATTATATGCATTACAGATCTACAATTTTGAAATTTAATGCAGTGAAAATTTCTTAAATTGCACGGTTTGGGGTGAATATGTATAGACAAACTTTTGGCTTTCAACCAGAGTCGGCCCTGGGGCAGGGCCAGCGAGGCGGCCGCCCTGGGCCCAAAAATTTTAAGGGCACAAATTAGAAAATTTTAAAGGAAAAAAATATTTTAGTATTATTGGTTGATAAAATGAGTTATTTTTTTCCCTTCATTCTCGCATAACTAAATATAGTGAGTTTTAATGATGAAATTAACTTAAATATTTTTTTTTATATATATTTTGTTCTCTCGTTTTGTCATTCAACCGATAAAAATATGTTTTAACTTCTTACTTGAATATGTAAAATTTTACTTGTGTGCATATAATTCAATCATATAAGTGATAGTCATTATAGGGCATTGAGTTATCCATTATAAATATGAGTTTCAATTTGTTGTTATTTAGTTAATTTATATATATATATATATATTAAAATTGTGTCGTTGTGCCTGGGCTGTGAGGGCTCTCCCCGATTGAGTTTCAACTATCGGCAAGACGGTTTATTAGTATTTTGCAACAAAAGAGTTGACTTTCGAGATAACAATAAAATTAAACATATGGTTAATGTGAATTAGAGTTCAAAACAATGTTTATATTTTGTCGTCTTTTTTCTTATACAAGAACTGAACATGATTTATTCCTTTACTTATTGTAAAATTTTATAATAAAATTTTTCAATTTTTTATAATCTTCATCATTTTTCTTTTGTAATATGTAATATTGTTTATGATTTTTTTTTCTAATAAAAACAATATATCTGCACTATATATTCAATTAGCCTACGGCCTATAATTTTTTAGGACCGGCTCTGCTTTCAAGAGCCACTATGAAGAAACTGATCAACCATGGGTATTAATCATGCAACTTGTAAAGAGAATACCTATCATTTAATATTACTTTTCAATTATTTCAATTATCTAATTTAAATGTTCAACACATGAAGTATTTTTACTAATCTCATTCTAACCATGTTGTTTTGTTTTTCTAAAAATTTCTACACTCTTTCCTAATCAATTATTTATTTTTAACATGAAAATGTTTAATATGTTTGTAGAAAAGGTACAAGTTACCACTTCATTAAATGTCTTTATTATATTGATATGGGATATTATATACTAGACCGGTTCGCAGGACACTCCAAACAGAATAGTATGTGGGTGTGGTCGAGCAGTATCAACAGGTCTACAGAAACTCTAGCACCTGGTCG